GTGGAAGCAACCCGTCTCAGGAGCTACTAATCCAGTTGCTAGGGGGAGGTCCATAGCTCCCAGCCAGGCTGCCATAGGGATAGGGATAGACCTTGTATGAGTGGATTCATAATTTTACATATACACATGACAAATTAGGGCAGGCACGTCAATGACGGCGGCAAAACATACACGCCCCCCTCCCCCAACCAGCCCCTCCATAGCATCAGGAACAAGAAAGAGGGCAACGGGTAACGAATTCACAAAGAAAAACAACACTGGCACATATGTGGCCCACTCCCACCTGCCTACATAAAACGAATCTGCCGTGTTCCGATAGACATATCGGAGTACGACAGCTTTTTGACGCCCCACATAAAACACATAACAGCCCCGACCCTCCCTCCCATCTTACCTCCATTCCCGGCTGGACGTCGGCCCCACCTTCCGAGGCCTGCTGCACGTGCAGCACGTGTATGGAACTTGACAATTAGGGCAGGCACGTCAATGACGGAGGCGAAACATACACGCCCCCCCCCCCAACCAGCCCCAGCCACCCTCCATAGCATCAGGAACAAGAAAGAGGGCAACGGGTAACGAATCCACAAAGAAAAACAACCCTGACACATATGTGGCCCACCCCCACCTGCCTACATAAAACAAATCTGCCGTACTCCGATAGCCATATCGGAGACGACAGTGTTTTAACGCCCCACATAAAACACATACGAGCACCGACCCTCCCTTCCAACTCACCTCTCCAAGCGAGCCCAATTCCTCCTCACGGTGGCCACCCGCCTCCATTCCCGGCTGGACGTCAGCCAGGAATAACTAATGTTAGTTTAGCGACAGTGAGTGGCGGTGAGTTCTATTTAGATGTTACTACAAGGCATACTAAAAGATAACACAAGTCCCTTATCCCAATTGAAGCTGTTCTGAATACCTTCTTACTTAAAGCGGTTCCGATTAGCGACAATATTTGGCCCATATCGTGCTCGACTGAGTTGGGAGTCATGGCTACGTGCTTTGTTCTTTCATAATGAAGATATTTGTTTGATGGAGAGGACATTGAAGCCATAATAGCCAAAGCCGTACATTGGAGCACCAATACAGGTGGCAAACACCTAATTAGGTTTATAAACCTCACTTATGATGCATTCACCAGTTATATTCATGCTTTCCATTGTGCTTTCGGGGCTGCACATCTACAGTAACCTCATCCAGACAACTGTCCCGTAGCTGCTGAGCCTTGGCGCTACACGTCTCCGGACTGCCAAATGGCCGTAGGTAGAGAGCAGGTCGTCAGGACAAACAATGTCTCCCTGCGCTCATATTGGCTGGCAAACATTTTAACTAACCTCATCATAACTTTTGACACATTCAGCGGGCATATCTGTGCCTAATTATCACACTTCCAAGGTTTCACATTAACCAAGCTTCTAGCTGGTGAGTAATTACTCACCAGGTTATAATTATAACCTGCAGGCAGTTGTCTGGACAGCTGTCAGGTCTGGACAGCTGTCCAGACAACTGCCCCGTAGCTACTGAGCCTGACGAGTTACACGTCTCCGGACTGCCATAGGGGCTGTCTAGGGATAGGAGCCAGATATGGCATGCTGCCCCACCTAAGGCCGCAGGATCCTGCACACTCCGGAGTTGCACACTCCGGATCTGGAGTGTGCAAGCACACTCGTACACGTACAACCGGTGCGTCTAGAGCGTCGGAAGCAAGTATGCTTTGCAATTTTAAATCCTCGATACAGAATTAAAGAATGGGTCGATTAAGTGCGACAGGGTACTTAAGTACGCTTCGTGCATATGCACGCCCAAATCTGAACGGATCCGGAATTCCGGAATTCCGGAAGAGTGTCTTGGAAGACACTGGATCCGGATCCAGTGAATAGACAGGACAGAGGAATAAACAAAACATATATAAATTCATTGTAAAGGATGATATATAGAACGTGCCACGGTGCATTAGGTAGGCCTGAAAATAGATGGTCAAAAGATGAGTGATGCATCATCTGTAAAAGTTTTCATATGAAAACTTTTACAGACGGGGTATAACCCGCGGGTACCCTATGGCAGTATATGAATATCAGGAATGTACAATAGCAGTACGGTATAACATGCACTGATATAAGTGGATGTTCACACGATGCAGTCTTAGCCAGTAGCTACTACATTGTATTTCTTTTGCCCCTGTATTTAATCACTATCTTTGACCAGCTACCAGTGATGCTCGTTGTCTCTTCGATTCACAGGCACAATCTGGTCACCACCTCCAGAAACCCCGACACCTCCAGGAAGCCCGCCACCACCTACCGCAGGTAAGGATTACAGTCAGCGATGACCTAGCGTGACTGGAATACAGCTCTAAAACATGCTACCTTGCCAGGACAGGACTCGTGTTCTGATAATGTGGGCACACATGCCAATGTTAACATGACTAATAATCAGGATATGTACCTAGGGTACAACACCTTAAAATTCAGGTGTTGTAGTCGGGGGATGGGGGAATATTAACATTCCCCCAGCATATATATGACTACGAGCTATAGTACTATAGCCCCGACTAGCCGACTAGTCGGGGCTATTCGGGGCATGTCATCTCAGCGGGAGAGGAATGTAGTAGCTGTACATAGTACGGCACACATATCTTCTGTAACGTTAACTACGCGCTAAGTTGCTCCCCCCGCATCATAGCTAGCGGCCTTTTCAGTGGCCAGCTACTACATGTACATGTACACTTTCTTGAAGCAAAGGGAGCACAGTGGAATGCCTATGTCTGTGTTTAGCCAGGTGCATACTGAATACATGCACATATGTACACACATGTCCCTACGAACACGGAGGCGGTTTAAGAACGTTCTTAAGTCAGTCTTAGCCCAGCCAAATTTGGATAACCAAAAGTTCTTTGACCGTTCTAAGAACGTTCGTATGACCTCCGTTTATCTTAAAACCATTCTTTAATTTTCTTTAGCATTCTTCATGGCCCAGAAGTCTTATGGATTCTCTTTTATTCATTGGGATGCTCTTATACGTTCGTGTGGGCAGGCAACTAGCTAGCAAATTTCTCCAAGCCCTTCTTCCCCACACTAGTACTCTTGGCTTGCTTGCGTGGCCTGCCATCCAACGGCCGTGGCACTAGAAGCTTCTTAAGGCCTTTTAGTGCCTAGGGCGCCCTAGGGCGGTGAAGCCTCTTAGGATCCTAGGGAGAGAGGCCTCTGAACCCCTGTAGTAACGAGGGGCTCCTCGTTACTGACCCCGGGGTCAGTAAGCCCACCCAGGGGTAGGGAGTTAACCAGGTAAAGGGAGGTGGCAACACGGGCATGTCTGAAGCAGGACGGCGGGTGTGCAACCTTACCCTGGGAAAGGGTACTACTAGTAGTATCCTACTCTCCCTACTTGGAGACATGGGAGAGAATATAGTCCAGGCTTCCATAAATGCGCCCAAAGAAGCTTGCCCCTATGCATACCCATCTCATGCACCTTCCTCCACCCACATCTGCTTCATCTATCTACGCCTGTGCATGCATGTACAACTGCCTCACCTACCTTGACACATATGCATGCATGTAATGTAATGTAAGCATACAACTGCCTCACCTACCTTGACATATGTCAAGGTCATATGTAATGTAATGCATTACATTACATTACATTACATGCATACATGTCATGCCCATCTCACATACACCTAGGTGTATGCGATGAGGCGGGCCTGCCTCATCACGCCTCAGATCAGGCATGTGTGTG